GATTTTTATGGAAGCTTCATTATGTTGGCATGATTGATTAAATCATTGGCCATTGGTAATCAACTCAATTTCAGCCCCTCCCCTTCCTATCACTCCTACGCCCTCCCAGGTTGAGGGGTGGGGCTGAAAGTTCCAACCCTCTAATCATGCCAATGTTTCCTGTGGCTAGCCCCCAGACTGAAGCTATTTAGGGGACCCCAGCCATAAGTCATCTAATTAGCATATGAAAGACACTCATCACTGGAGCTTTTTAAGGGTTTTGAGAGGTGTACCTAAGGAAACAAAACAAAGGCCAAATATATATTTCACAATACCACAGTAAAGATGACTGGTTTTGTTTTCATTGCTTTTTGTGTGCGTAGATTTATATTCTGTTTCTCTTCTTAATCTTCCTGATCTATTTTTGCACAAGTCAAAGTCATCTTCTTCAAACAGAGCTCTAAATTTCATTCCATCCCCAGAAACACCACCACTATCCTCACCACCAACAACAAAACAACAAAAAGTTCGATTAATAAATCTAGTCCACCACAAAAAGAATTCTACACTATCTTGAACTTCATTGTATATAGAATCATTTGCCATTGATTCCTTAGCTCCATCTTGACCTGCACCTCAGCACATGGGGCTTGGCCATCTAAAGTCATTCTATCATTTATCTGAGAGAACTAGCCTTTGCATCTGAACATGTCAAACAGCGATGGAAATATAAGAACCAGAAGACTTTGGTTTCCCCCAAATTCACCCAAAAAAGTAGACAAAGGACTCTTAGCCAGGGCTCAAATCCTTTGGTGACAATCAAAATAATGCATCCCATTTTTCCTATTCCAGTCATTTCATGGTTCTAAAGATGGTATCAGACCCTTATCTGCCAATATCTTTGCTTTTCTTTTGTTTCATAAAGTAGGTTTTCTTTAAAGGAACCCATAAGGTAAATCTGAGAACAAAGATGTTTTAGACCAAAAGCCTTGTTTCTGTCAAAACACTTGTGACTACAGAATACAGGCTCTAATCCATTGCTGCACCTTAGATCACTGCGTCAGCAGCAGTCCTTTGTCTCTAACACACAATGGAGGTGGGGGTTCCTCTGATCTGGAACAAGCATCTATAGAATAAAATCCACCTGTATAATAAACAAAACTTTCAGAGAGATGGAGTTGACTGAAAGAGGGATTTTGTTTGTTTTAATGAGATTTCAAAATGTTGTTGACCTACTTGGGAAAGGAGGTTTCCCCAACAATAAAAATTGCCAATTTCAATAGCTGAGTCAGCTGTGCCCTCCTTCCAGTTGCTTGGGATTAAGTCATTAGTCACTTGATTATTTTATCAGGAGAGCAAGAGTGGCCATTCTCCTTCTGGTTTGTTGTCTTAATGTTGACTAAACAAGATTGGCAGTGATTTATACCACAACCGAACTCTCCTGGCTCTCTGGAGGAATGGAAACTATTAAAAGATGAAATGTAAGACATGATTTTGTTAAACTAAATTGAATCATTGTGCTGAACTTAATTCTAATTGTTGAAACAGCTGCCATTAACAAGCCAATTCTGCCTCTGTAGGCTTCCCCCAAATCCCATATCATCTTCTTTCCCATCTTATCTGGGACAGATTTGAGGAAGTCATTTGCTTTTAAAAAATTGTTTTTGTTTTTTTTTCAGTGGATGTCAAACATTACAACCTGGTCTGAATTTGTGTTTAAGTGATAAGTAGCCCTAAGTTTTAGCCTTGGAATCTAGTCCATTCACAGTCTGCCCCGTTTTTATCTTTAAATTTCACCTGATTGTTCTTTTGTCTAATACTCCCATGACAATTTGCCTGGTCTCACCACTGTAGCAAAATCCCATCTTTGCCCCACTGTAAGTGTGGTTTTCTCATCCAAAATGCCCTTCTTCTTCTTGTCCATCCTTCTAGGCTCAAGACTAGTCCCTTATCTTTCAAGAAGACATGCTTGGCATCTCCAGCTTCCCTCCAATCTCTTTTTATTCTCAACATCTATTATTACTCATTACTTGTACCTATTCAAAGATACCCTCCCTTATTACCAGTATTATATCTGCTACATTTCATTTGTAAGGCCATTATTATCTAGTTACAGGGGTTACACAAGTCTTATAATTTAATTTTTTCACCTGTATCGTTTTTCCTCTTTTAAATGTTCCTTGAAGTTTTGTTGAAATTCCTTTTTTCAATGCTCCTTAAAGATAGAGTCTAAGTCTTTAATTCAGTTCAACAAACATTTATTGAATGCAATGACCTATTTACATTCTTTTGAAAGAAAAACATTGCAGATTCCTCTAAATTCATTTTATACTTTTTACAAATAATTCCTTTCAAGTACAGTACCAAACTTTCTTTGTGGCATTTACTGCTCAAGACTTCTTTTTCTGCTATAAAAATTTTTACTTGCCCCAGATTTCTTTTTCCCATCTTTTCTTCCACACTTATTTCTCCCATATTGTGTTCATATTTTTGAAAAATTTTATAATTCAATTAGTAAATTAAATCAGAGATTGCATGCCCAAGGACAATTTTATATATAAAGGAATGGCATGAAGAATTCAATTATTTTCTTATTCATATTTGTTGTCCACCAGAACTTTTTTTTTTTTTATTGTACTTTAGGTTCTGGGGTATATGTGTAGATCATGCAGGATTGTTGCATAGGTACACACATGGCAATGTGGTTTGCTGCCTCCATCCCCCCATCACCCACATCTGGCATTTCTCCCCATGTTATCCCTCCCCGACCTCCCCCCGCCGGCTGTCTTTGGCACCTCCAACAGACCCCAGTGTGTGATGCTCCCCTCCCTGTGTCCCTGTGCTCTCATTGTTCATCACCCACCTATGAGTGAGAACATATGGTGTTTGATTTTCTGTTCTTGTGTCAGTTTGCTGAGAATGATGGTTTCCAGATTCATCCATGTCCCTACAAAGGACACGAACTCATCATTTTGTATGGCTGCATGGTATTCCATGGTGTTTATGTGCCACATTTTCCTTGTCCAGTCTATCGTTGATGGGCATTTGGGTTGGTTCCAGGTCTTTGCTATTGTAAACAGTGCCACAATGAACATATGTGTGCATGTGTCTTTATAATAGAATGATTTGTAATCCTTTGGGTATATACCCAGTAATGGGATTGCTGGGTCAAATGGAATTTCTATTTCTAGGTCCTTGAGGAATCGCCACACTGTCTCCCACAATGGTTGAACTAGTTTACACTCCCACCAACACTGTAGAAGTGTTCCTATTTGTCCACATACTCTCCAGCACCTGTTGTCTACAGATTTTTTAATGATCACCATTCTAACTGGCATGAGGTGGTATCTCAATGTGGTTTTGATTTGCATTTCTCTAATGACCAGTGATGATGAACTTTTTTTCATGTTTGTTGGCCTCATATATGTCTTCTTTTGAAAAGTGTCTGTTCATATCCATCTCCCACTTTTGAATAGGCTTGTTTGTTTTTTTTCTTGTAAACCTGTTTTAGTTCTTTGTAGATTCTGGATATTAGCCCTTTGTCAGATGGGCAGATTGCAAAAATTTTTTCCCATCCTGTTGGTTGCTAGTTCACTCTAATGATTGTTTCTTTTGCTGTACAGAAGCTCTTAAGTTTAATTAGGTCCCATTTGTCTATTTTGGCTTTTGTTGCCAATGCTTTTGGTGTTTTAGTCATGAAGTCCTTGCCTATGCCTATGTCCTGAATGGTTTTGCCTATGTTTTCTTAGAGCGTTTTTATGGTGTTAGATCTTATATTTAAATCTTTAATCCATCTGGAGTTAATTTTAGTGTAAGGTGTCAGGAAGTGGTCCAGTTTCTGCTTTCTGCACACTGCTAGTCGGTTTTCCCAACACCATTTATTAAACAGGGAATCCTTTCCCCATTGCTTGTTTTTGTCAGGTTTGTCAAAGATCAGATGGTTGTAGATGTGTGGCGTTGCCTCCAGGCCTCGTTGTAGAACAGAACTTTCTAAGAATCCGGTTTGATTAAAATAGTACCATGTTTGCATTCAGTTTCAATCCATTTCGTTTTCCTCACATAGCGTTTTTTAGAATGAGGTTTCCAATGCCTACCTCACAACCACTCCTCATTCTTATCTATTTTTGGTGGGAAGAGGTTTTTAAAAATGTGTCAAGGTTACTCAGGGGAGTATCTGAGAGTGGTGCAAGGGAAGAGTTTGCACTCTTCTTCAAAGGAGGTGGGAGGAAGTCATAGGCAAGGAAGAGAAAAGTGGGAAGGCGCCACTAGAGGGAGAAGAAATTCAGAGATGTGTATCTGTATCTGATGCTACCTTGAATGCATGGAAAATAGAGTTGCCACATTTAGCCACGAAACAAACAAACAAAACCACACACTCAAAAATGATAACAACAAAAACATGATGTCTTGTTAAATTTGAATTTCTAATAATAATAATGTCTAATAATGAATAACTTATGTCTCTCAAATATTGCCTTATGGCATTGCTAGCATCCTACAATTAAATGGGACATATACGAAAAAACTATTTATTGTTTATGTGAAATTCAAATTTAAATGGGAGTCTGTATTTTATCTAATAACCTTAACTACAAAGCCACTCATTTAAAAAGTGAAGACATTTTTTTGCCACCCTCTTTGTGTGTTTGTGATTGGTTTTCTGCATAGAAATGGGTACCCAAAGGTCCCTTGTTCTAGATAATGTGAGCTAGGATGGAGGGTTAAATATATGCTATCATTTGGATGTGGTTTGTTTCTCCTCACTTAAAGTCATGTTGAAATTTGATCCCCAGTGTAGTGATGTTGGAAGGTGGCAGGAGGTATTTGGGTCATAGGGGTGGATCCCTCATGAATGGCTTGGTGTGTCTCAGAATGGTGAGTTCTCATTCAGTTGAGGTTGGATTGGTTCTCATGGGTATGAACTAATTCCCAGGAGAGTGGGTCATCATAAAGCCAGGACTCCTCTCAGGTTTTCCCCTCTTTGTACATGTCTACTTCCTTTTTGACTTTCTCCACTGTATTGTGACATTCTTCTAATTACGCAAGTAACAGCATCAGAGAAGACAAAGGAAACAACTTCCCCTGGACAGAAGGCAAAGTTGGTGTATGAAGAAGAATCTTCTGAAGAGGAGTCTGATGATGAAATAGCAGATAAGGATTCTGATGATAATTGGGATGAAGATGAGGAGGAGAGTGAAAGTGAGAAAGATGAGGATGATGCTGAAGAAGAGGATGAGGATGCTGAAGGAAAAGATGAAGAAAATGGTGAGGACAGAGATAGAGCAAGTGAAAAAGAATTAAACGGAGATTCTGACTTAGATCCTGAAAATGAAAGTGAAGAAGAATGAAGACAGCAAAGCAAGCCAGTCAAACTATATAAACTCTGGCTCACCTTGCCCAGTGGTGAGGGTTGTCTCTGTGCCAGGATGCCAAGGACCACTGCACATTTCCAAATTCACAGCAGTGGATTCCTGTCCTGAGAACCCCAGACTTAACTGTGTAAATAAGAGTGTTTCATTCAAATGTTAATAAACTTTACACAGTATATAGACAAAAAAAAAAAAAAAAAAAAAAAAGCCCTCACCAGAAGCCAGAGCCATGCCCTTGAACTTCTCAGTATATGGAATTGTGAGCTACATAAACCTCTTTTCTTTATAAATAACCCAGTCTTAGATATTCTTTCATAGGAACACAAAACAGACTAAGAAAGTATAACTCACATGTGGTCCTATCCTTTGCTGCTGGGCTAATGTGTGTATTAAAGAATCAAGAAGCACCATAAAAACAAATCATTATTTGGCTGCCCAGAAGAGAATGGTCTTGTTGGTGGCACTACCTAGAAGGTAGTTCTTTAGAACCCAAAGGATGACTTTCCAGTCGGGAGTGAAGAGCCCTGGCCCTCCTCCAGGCTGAAGGGACTGAAACAGGTAGCGGGAACACCCCATGTATTGTAGGAAGTGTAGCAGCATCCCTGGCCTCTACCCACTAAATGCCAGAAATATTCCTTTCCTCACTCACTACAACTAAAAATGTCTCTAACCATTGCCAAATGTCTCCTGTTAGGTCACATTGCCTCAGTTAAGAATTCCCATCCAAAGAGAGAGAAGCCAGGGAATCTAGAGCAAGAACAGAATGGGAACACATAACTGAGAAATAAATGGAGTGGGCAAGGATTTGCAGAAAAGGGGGCAAAGCCTCATAATCACAATAAGATGTCACCATTGAGTTGTTTGCTCAGGAAGCCAGCCCTGGAGAACAGGAATCTAGTCTGTCATCTTCACTGCTTTTCCCCTAGTATAATGAACAGTGCCTGTCCAAAGATAAATACTTGTTGAATGAATTACTATGTAAGCACAGTCATTATATTATATAAAGTTGCCTTTATACTCCCTAGAACTAGAAAGTGAATGATGACAAAGTATTTCTTGTGTAATAAACAGAGGTAGTAATTGAGGGACACATAGCTGACCACCCCACCACATACACACACACACACACACACGTACACACACAAGACACATACACACACACAAACACATACATGCCCCTCTTCAATTATCACCCAAAATCCCTCCATCCCCAAGGGCTACAGTGCCTGAAATTCTCCCATGTGTGATGCATTCTATTCAAGGAGGGAGGAATCCATTGAGATTCATTGAGCATCTTTTCTTTCTGTGCCAGACACTGCAGTGAGTGCTAGAATACAAAGTTGCTATCTTCAGGGTAGGAGAGCAAGAGGGAAAATATTTGTTTTAACTCACAGGATTGAATAAATTATGTACCCTTATAGTAAACCAAGGTGCTCTGGAAGCCCATAGGAAGGAAGGCTCCATAGAGGAAATGATTACTGAGATGGGTCTTGAAAATCATAGAGAGATGACTGTGTTAGTGTAGCAAAATGTTAGAACAAACAGCCTGAAATCTAGGTGGCTTAACACAGTCAAGGTTTTTGTGCAGACAGTCCAGTGCAGATTTCCTCATCACACAGCTCTCCTGGCCAGGTCTCTTTCAACCAGGCTCCTTCTATTTCGTGGTTCCACCAACTTCTACAGCCTCAGAATCCTTGAAAGCCTTGAGCCACACTGCTGAATCCTCTCTAACTGGTCAATACATGAAGGGAGAGTGGAGGTAGATGTTGTAGGACGTTCAAGAGGCCAGGTCTGAAAGGGGCTACAGCACCATGACCACAAATCCGTCATGCAGACATCATCCCAATGCCTGATCCATGCAAGAGTCTTCTCTTGGGCCCAAGAAGAAAGGGAAGCAGTTTAGTGAACTTTTTTGTTGATACCTCTGCAAGCAGCAGAAATGGAGGTATAAACCAGGCAGAAGAAATAAACAGTGAGTACTGATAAAATGAAAACAGAGGGAAACCAAGAGGGAAGTTTAAGAGGCAAAGTTAGAGAGATGGAGAGCTCTGATGGAAGGTGGCAAGGTGTCACATGCCAGATAATGTTAGGAGGGAAAGTAACTGAGGGGAAGAAGTATATAATAAACAGAGGGGGAGAGCCTACAGTATGTTCCAGAAAGAGAGATGGAGAAGGCTACCGTCATCCCAACTGCCTTCTAGAGTTTGGTTATGAACTTAGGAAATCTTCCAAAGATTCTGTTAAGCACTGATTTATATAAATCTAAGACTTCTTTATTTTTCGGACTTTCTCCTTTCTGCAAGTTATAACAACAAGAAGCTTTGAAAGAGGCTTATAAGTATATAGGAATGTGGTCCTTCTGGAAAAGCCACAGGGAAGGGACTGAGTATGCCTAATATTTACGTAAATTTTAACCACATAATGGGCAACTCAAGAAATAATGATGTGACTGCTGCGACCAATCCCTTGAACTGCAAAAGCTTCTGATTCACAAGGAACAGTGGTAATTATTACCCCTTGCTCTATCAAGAGTATAGGTTTTGCATGTAGATCATTTTGGGTGAGAAGTGAAAATATAAAATCTAAATATTAATGGACTCAAGTGATGTTTATAAGAAATACACAATTTAAAAATTGACGTGGGCACGGTGACTCACACCCGTAATCCCAGCACTTTGGGAAGCTGAGGCGGGTGGATCATGAGGTCGAGAGATCAAGACCATCCTGGCCAATATGGTGAAACCCTTTCTCTACTAAAAATACAAAAATTAGCTGGGCATGGTGGCGCATGCCAATAGTCCCAGCTACTCGGGAGGCTGAGGCAGGAGAATCGCTTGAACCTGAGAGGCAGAGGCTGCAGTGAGCCAAGATTGCCCCACTGCACTCCTGCCTGGTGACAGAGCGATACTCTGTCTCAAAAAAAAGAAAATAAGATTGATGGATAGCATGAAGAATTGTTAAAAGTGCTAATCTAAAAGTGCTAATACAATATGAATGTTATTGAAACATGAAAGAAGTTGACCTTTGAGTTGCCAGATTTACATATTTTGCTATTATCATGACCTTTTTGTGGCATGAAAGACTTGGAGAAATAGATATAAAAATGAAAAATTCCCCTTTCCTGGATGGTTCTTTGAAAAATGAAATGCTTTGAGATACAATAAAATGAATGCTTTAATATGTTAGACAAGGCTGGCAGGGTAACAAGCAATGTTGATTTATTTCCCTCTCTATTTTTCTATCATTTTCCTCCTCTTTCTCATGAGTATTTATATTGTTTTTCTTCTGTGTATATGGTGGGTTTGCATCTGTTCTAATTATGCTCCTAGATTTCAATATTTACATAATGTCCTTTTGTTTTCCCCATTCTGTCCAGAACTAAGAATTTATTTGCATCATTATAATATACTCTTCAATTTTATTACCATCTTCAATTCTTTGCAAATGGCTTGTAGATCTTCTCCTACCATAACTTTCATTTAAAATTTAAATTCTCATGAGAATTCCTTGAGCATTCCAAAGCACTCCTAATTCATAATTTTATGTTTCCACTAAGGAGGCCCATGTATTATTTTAAGAGCAGAGCAGAGACTCATTGATACAAGAGTCCTCTGGAGCCTCAGGCTCCCAGTCTGGGTTTGTGCCTACTCCACAATCAGCTTGACTTCTATGACTGAGAAAAATTGGAAATTGCAACTAGAAAAGTATTCCTTTGTATATCATTCTAACAATTATTTAGTCAGTCCCACTTGGTTTTAAAACAGTGATGTTTGTTTCTGCAAATGAATGTGATCTAAGAGAAAACTGAATATATTTTTAAATGGTGCATTTATTACCACTGTACTGCTCTTATTACAAATATAAAAGGTCATTAACATGTAGAAGGCTTTTGTCAGATTATTTAGTTCTCAGGACAAAAATAAGTATTTCATAGCCAGTGGAAATTAACAACTTGATTCCATACCAGGAAACACGTCAGTTCCTCTCTATAATTCTTCTTAAACATCATAACTAGTCAAAATAGATTTACACTTGAGAAGGTCACACATATTCCCCTGGGAAACACTCTTCTACAAAACTACATTTTGCTGCATGACTTTATGGAGAACAGTACATTTCACAGCACATTCTGACTTCTCTTTCGAGACTTGGGAACCAAAAGGCATGAACAGCAATGAGAGATGTCTTTTTCAGCCATTTGAAGCAGGGACAGTTGGATTTGGTTTCGTTTAGAGTTAATTGCGCATTTTGAGTGATTTGGTTTTGACAAAATCCAAAGCATATTTTGCAAATCACTTTTCCCATTAAACGCTAAAACCCTTTATTTTTAAAAGGAAATCTAATCCATATGTTTGGAATTTGTTTACACTAAAATTATAAAAAAAATCTATATTTTATTCATGTCCCAGAAGCTTTCTGTACCATTTTGTAAACCTCTTTCAAAAATCAAGAAGTCATGTATTGCCAAAAACTAATGAGATCAAATCCATAAATGTTAGAAATATTGATTTTACGATTCCTTATGGTCTGAACTTAGAAAAACATATCTTTGGTTTTCAGTCATCCCTTGCAGAGAAAATGACACCCTTTCTTTTGAGAATCCTATACAAAAAGAACTTTTAGACTTGTATAGTAGTTTTATTTTGCCTAAACGTATCAAGCCGCTTGACCAAATTCAATCTGAGAATGATTTAATTCAATAAAAAATGAGCAAATCAGAAACTGAAAGTTTATGAAATGCTTGTTTATTACAAACCACATCCAAAATTGTCAAATACAACTCATGGGGTTCATTAAACATGAGGAGGTTTCAACATGCTCAAAAATATCCCACCTGGAAATAAAGAAGGCCAAGAAGAGATAAGAGACCACATATGTTCCTTCATAATGAGGCTGAATATGAAGATGGATTTATCTTCCCCAGTATTCTGAAATCACCACTGGCTTAGAGCAGGGATCAGTCAACTTTTTTTCCGAGAAGGACCAAAAAGTCAGTACTTTAGGTTTTACAACCCATGTGGTTTCTGTCAC